CTGCAGCATACAGGCATGGTATGCTATGCTAGGGTGCATACAATGCTCTCGAAGTCCGAAGACCACAAGAATGGGATGGGAGATGACCTATGGTGACGGTGCGCTGCCTCTAAGTTTAGCAGCGGGAAGGAACAGCCACTGCTGATACCTAGCTGCAGATAGGCCACCCACACCGCACCCACACAGCAGTGCAATGGTGCTTTGGTGCGCCTAGAGGAGAATGCCAGGACAGAAGGGCAAATGGGCCTTTGTGCATCTGAGTGAAGGATGAATTTTTGGAGACGATTACCGGTACGGTACCTATGGATGGATGGACTGTGGCGATACTGGAACCGATCATTGTGGCGCATCATTGACCTCGACGACCGACTGGCGGCACCCGCGGCAACGACAAGGAGTGGCAGGATCCAGGTATCGTGGTAACAGTAGTACTACTTGCTTGCTGGACAGTGTGGATAGATGGCAGACTATAGAGCAGTGTGCACTATAGAAGTATCTACCCATGTAGTCACTACCGTAGTGTCGAGGCTGTGCTGGCTACCTGGCCAAGTACCGGTACCATACTGTACCATACTGTACCATACTGTACCATATCGTACTTTACCGTATTGTACCGTAGGGTGGTCGTGCCTTCCCCAATGACCCGTACATGGGGAACAAGACGGAAGCCGCGTTCCAACCAGCTTGATTGTGGGCTTCTTCCCTCCCGGCTTCCCTGGGCCTTCGGAAGGAGCCACCTGAGCTACCTATCTGACTTGACTTGTACCTAGTAGCACCACCCTTTCACCACTCTCCACCACTTCCCTACCCTACACCACTCTTTCCTGATAGTGACGGATTCCAGTAGCAAAACGAGTACGAAATCATGCGTCGCAGAGCACCTTTTTCCAGATCTGCCGATGCGCAAAGGCTAAGTGCCCCCGGTACGGTACCGCTGTGTTCAATGTGTGTACCTACCGGTACCGTGCACCGTAGGTACATCGTGAACAAACACGACACAATTACATACCTAACCTAACCCATCGTCTTCTCCACACGCGCAATCGGCCCGCCCGCTGCCCACACACGCGGGAGTCTTTGCCGCGCTGCTTGCCAAAGGGCTGAATCGCAATCTCGATGGATTCAAAAGGAGGGCCGCTTTGGTGCACTTGTGCGCAATGGCACCAAACCATGGCCTGATGGGCGGGACAGCACAGGTTCTCGACCTTTTCCACCGACTCACCTCGACCTACCTCTGGCCATGCCGGGTACTGTACCTTGGTTTCTTAGGTAGTCGTGGGTACGGACTTAGCTACCTACCTGGAGCTGCGCGGACAAGGGACACGGGACAAGGTTGTGCATCCTCTTCTGGCTGCGTCTGCCCATGACACGCCCAACAGACGTACACAGTAACGTACGAGAAGGCTGGAGCTGCCTACTGTCAGCCCTCTCAAACACGCCTTGTCATCACATCCGAATTCAGCGACCAGACACGTCAATGCCCGGCTGTTTAGACCCTGCATACTATCAGCTAGACTGCCAGTGTGAAGGCACCTGGACTCTTAGCTCTCCCCAGCACAGTGCACATTTATTCATGCAGCCAGCAGATTGCTTCAGCTCCATACTCCAGCTAAAACCACCACGCTTGAGCCGAAAAAAGCAAATGGCACAGTCGGTTGTAGTCGTAAAGCGACTGACAGTCTTCACTGCGACTCGCAAGTGCCGTACCTATCAACCGGCCCGGTTGTGTCTAGGTACACGGTACAGTACCATATGTACAGCATGGCCGAGGACTCGAGACGACCGATCAAGTGGAACCTCATAGGTAAGCTGGCCTGTGCTAACGCTGTACATACTACGCCATATATGTACAATACCTACGCGCCCCTCCAAGGTCATTGCATGTTGCAATAGTAATTGTCGTTTCGCCATGTCAGACTGACCATGAAGATCCTTCGCATCTACCTACCCAGCCTCTCGGATGTGGAGCTGTTATGCCGATCATCAGGGAGAAATCAGCCTTAACTTTAGGTACCACTTAGGTAAGCTATACTTGTAGGTACCAACCGTCTGAAGGGCAAGGCTCACATTCTGCCACCAAGAAATGGATTCAGTCATGCAATCACAGTAACTGAAACTCCATGTCAATCTGCAGGCGATTTTGCCAAGTCTATCCTCCCAAGATCAAGACTGGACTGGCACTCCTCCACAGCGGCGGTGCAGGAGCTTGAGCCCAGGAAACCGGTGAAGCCCGTGACGTGCGTTCTGCAGTCCCTGACTGCCTACCACTGCGATTGGCGCTTAGAGCCTCATGAACATCATGAGCATCCCAGTCCCTCTAGTTCTGACACAGGGGCTGGCCCGTTGTCTAACAGCATCAACGTCGTCAAGTAAGTAGCACATAACGTGTATTCTTTTTTTTTGCTGCTGCTGCTGCTGCTGCTCCGGCCTGTTTTATTCGTGGTTGGGAGCAAGAAAAGGCTGATGAAAGCTTGGTGAACGTGTTTTGAAAGCTTCGCGCGGACAGGCAGGCTGAAGTCAGGCCCCCCACTACACAAGCAGCCCTGTGGTCATGGCGGCCAGACGACCGTCCCGTGTGGAGATTGGCCTGGAAGTCAAGCAGCCAGGTCAGGCATTGCGGGCTCTCAATTGAAGCCGCCTGTGTATGTATGTACACACACTCTCCCTAGAGTTTACTAGGCAGGATATAGCGTACGTACTCGGAGGGACTACCAACCGTGCTTACGCTCCAGAGATTTGAACGCCAGCGAATCACTACAGAGCATGTCGATGAGCGTATTGCTACGCTTGCACAAGCTATGCTTTACAGTAGCCACCCTCGCCGACGTCAGGGGAACATCTACCATTCAGGGACGGCAGACATCGCCGTTGTGTGCAGTGTCCCGGTGTCTCTATACGGTACATGGCATCCCAGCGGGGCTACAGCAGGACTACAGCAGGACTACACATCTGCCGCTGCACGCACCTGACGTTTCCATGTCCTACCAATCGAAACCCGGCACAGCGCGCGACTGTCGGGCAATACTCTTCATGCAACAGGGGCACTATCGCCGAAGAGCTCCTCGCCTAGTTTTGCAGGACGCAATTACGACACAGATTTCCTTCTTGCTCCTACCTGCTCCTCCTTGTCGCAGTCCAAGATCGTGCGTCTCGGTGATGACAGCATCTTGCAATCCTGATGGTCATCGTAAGCGGGATTGCAGTGCGCTGTTGCAGGAAGGCTGAGCACGGTTCATTGCTTCACCTGAGTTCTCTATTTCGGGTCCTCCACTCAAGCCAGCCACGCTGCTTTTAGCAAAGTATGCCGCCTTCTCCTCGAGATGGTTTGACGGGAACGGTCCGTAGACTGGCGGCGCGATAGCCTCCCACGCTCCACTTGCAGACCCTGGTCCTCGTCCCAATTTTGGTGCGCGGATGCCTCGTTGCTCAGTGTGACTGACTGAACCGTTCGGTTGCACGCCCGCCGCCATAACCGTGGGCTCAAGCTCTGGGCATGATTGTACCTACATAGGTAGAATGTGATCGGCCAATGCACTGCCATTGGCGTCCACCCCAGCATGGTTCCCTGCCTGCCGTGCATTCAGGCTTGCAGCTTCTACCCTCATCATCTCCCTCTATAACGGTTCCGTCCACATCTCAAGCATATTCCTGGGCCGGGGTTGGCTTGGGCACAGCCCACAGATATTTCCAGTTCCTCTCCCACGATTTAACATCCACATGCGCAGCACATATACTCTATTACAGCAAAAGACCCTGATTTGGATTAGTCGAGCCTACCACATACCACTACCATTCGCTTCCCCTGGCGCCTGTTTCTTAATTCGTCTTCTTACCCTCCCATGACCTGCCACCTTCCATTAGATACACTATCAAATCCTGCGCGAGAAGTTGTCCTTGGCTCATAGCTGTTTACCGTACCGCCAAATCTGGAGCGTCAAGCTCGATCCTCTCCATCTCCACTTGAAACTCTGATTCCGCCTGGCGCCAAACTCGCTGGAGAGATATATACCTCTCTCGCCCTATTCCTTAGAATGTCGAACCCCAATGAGACAAACGACCATTCACTAATATCGAACACCTTTCAAGTGCAGCAGGCTGACGCTGGTGCTGTCCAACAACCGAAGTTTACCCACTGTAGATCTGAAAGAAGCTCTCCATTATCGAGTGGAGGCTTGGAGACGAAAACGACATCCAAAAACCGCCGTCGCACTTGCTCCAGGCTAGAGCCGTCGTCAAAACACCACCCCGTCACCACTAAATCAAAGCAACATTCGACAGCTAGTCCCGAGATCATGGCGTCTTCGCCTTCTTCGGTGAACTATACAAGAACGGGGCGCATCAGCAAAGCCAAGAAAGGTTTAAAGGTGCATAACTGTGAACATTGTGGAAGAGTGAGTCGTCCCAGGCGCCCCGCTTGCTTGCCTAATCAAGTCTGCCATTCTGTTCTCTTGGCTTGCGGATTGTCTGTGTCCGGTGCTGATTTAATCCAGTCTTATACTCGTGCAGAGCACTTGAGGTAGGCAAAGACATGCTACATATCTGTCATTATGTTAATCTTTTTTAGACGACATCAGAGGAACCATGCGAAAGACGGTGCACTAGTGTGCGACTTTCCCGACTGTGACAAGGTTTTCTACCGGATTGATCTCTTGCAAAGGCACCAGGAACGACAGTGGGTCATCTTTCAATCTCTTAGATTACTCGAGCTCACAGGTGGCAGCAATGATGCTAGACAAGTGTCCCGGCGCGCATCTGCATCTAGTCCGGATCAAGAACGCTCTCCAGAACTACCCAAAGCTTCCAGGCACGAGAATATAGGAGATAGTATGGTAGCAACGCTCCCGGCTGGCTCATCTTTCCATACACCGCAACCTTTGTCACCTATACATGATTCGCCAACGATCACAAGGTATACTACAAATCCGTTTCGTACTCCTCAGCTTCCTCGAACATCTCAAGCTCCCACGTCAACTTTCAATCCTGTCATTTATTCTTCGAGTTCTGAATTCCGGAAGTGAGTTTCATTACGTAGCGATCTGCGCTTGCCTGAGCATCTCTTTACCCATTATCTAGAAAGATGTGTCATGTGTACTGACTTATGATTAGCCAAGCCAAGCACCGCCGCTCTTTCGCAAGCCACAACTCTGCAGTCATTCAGATGCAAGTTGATGGAACGACATCCAGTCTCGGTTGGGCCGACTTCTATAGCCAGTCGTCCGGTTACTCGTCCTCAGACGACTACGTATCACCGAAAACCGCGTCGAATGACTATGGCAGCCTGTTTCCCCAAATGCCGTACTGTCCAGATTCAAATAGGACACGCGCGTCATCTAATGCGTCGCTGATCGAACCTCCCTGGTCCTACGCATCGCGTTCACCTGCTTCCACAATATCCACAATGGCCTATCCATGGGTGTCGAGTGATAAGACATCCGATGCACCAGCATTGACTTATATTGACACAACCTACCCAATGACGAGCATGCCTATCGCGAGCAGCATCGATCCGATGGCAGGCATCTGTCAGTACGATGCGAAGACAATGATACAGAGGGATGAAGAAGAAAGTGTGACCCTCTTTGGAGAGCAACCTTACGGTATGGGTCCAATCGCACACACCTACCCGTTTGAGCAAGATCTTGACTGTTACTGGAGATACTTTCATCCCACTTTCCCCATCATCCATCGGCCTACCTTTCAACGCTTGACTGCATCACCGATGCTCCATGCAGCCATGATTGCAATCGGTGGTCAGTACTCCATCGATGGGAGCGTCAGGCGAAGGTCAAGGAATTTGCACGATCGATGCCTGAAACTGCTTGGACGGGTGGGTGCGCTAGCAGATGTGTAACCGAAAAAAGGCTAATTGTGAGCAGAGGGGACAGGTCACTATGATGGAGCCGGAAAGACTAATGGACTACCAAGCCATATTCCTTATTGAGTACCTATCACAGTTCCGATCCCGTCGATCCGCCAAGGTACTATCTGCCCATTTTGAAAAGGTGTATCAAAAGGTAAGGCAGATGTCCGACCTGTACTGCCATGCGAGCTAATCCTCTTAGTCTTTCCTGGACTTTCAGCATATGAATTCATTTATTGCCAAATTGGCTTCTCCTCCAAAGAGCGACGATGCTACTTCTGACCAGTGGGCGCATTGGGTTGAGCTCACTGGTTCGCGACGTTTGCTTCAGGCTTGCTACATTCTCGAGTCCCAACAAGCCTTACTTCTTGCACGCGAACCTAAGCCATCCCTGATACAGGCCAGCGGGTACGACCTTCCATTTCCTGTCCCAATTGAGATATGGGACGCGGACTCTACGTACGAATGGAAGCTAGCCCAGCAAGTTTATCCCGCAGCCCCCTTGTACGTTTACGAGATCAGCCCAGATGTGATTTCGAGACCACTGGACACTTTTCAGTCTTCCATGTTACTGGCAGCATACTATAATTGTTTCGATATGGGCGCCCCGTACGCTCTTGGTCCCCCAACTTTTGATCTAGAGTGTCATCTGGATGCGTCCCCAGGAATCGTGCGCCAACACTTGACAGCTAAGCTGGTACATGTCACCCCTATCCGTGCCTTATTGGCCATCCCAGGCGAATCCTGGATTTTTTCTGAAAGAGTATCGTCTCTTCAGGCGTTTGGCCTACTACGGACGACGGTGCGGGCATGGTTGGTGCAGCTATGGGCGACCGACAGCACGCTCGGGCATGCTGCTCCCATCAAAGAAGCATTGAGGCTTTCTGTTACTATTCTGGAAGCGGCACTGAGAGAAGCACAGAGTCCGATGAAGCCCGAAATCGGGACCGATTTGGGCATTTTCTTCGCTGCTCTAGTGTTGTGGGCAGTCACAGCGGCAGCTACTACCCGGTTCAAAGAAGTTGTCCCTCAGCGCCTACAAACGCCATGCTATATCCAGCAGCCACTCGCATCCAGCAACTCTCCTACTGTATCAGGTAGCCCATCGCCGTTGCTGCACCCCTCTCTCGCGCAGTCGCCTCTCGCGATTCACGCCGCCTCGCAGCCAACCCTAGGATCCATGGTCGGGACACCCATCTCGCCGCCATCACAAATGGCGCACGATGACATATGTCTGCTGTCGCATGATGATATCGCCACGCAAAGCATGGCGTTTCTCGCGTCCGCGCTGACGGATTATCAGCATGCCGCCTCCCAAAAGTGGACAGCCAGCGACCTTGTCCGATGTCAGATGGGGTGTTTAAGCTTGCTTCTCTGGGTCAAGATGCGGCTGCGTGGCGTTTGTCTCGAGGAGAGTACAGAGTCGTGGTCGAGCAGTGCGAGTGGAGGTCTTGGCGAACTTTTGAATGGCGTCATCACCATGCTTGAGAAGATGCTGGGTCGTGGTTGGAGTGAGTGGGGGATTTGATGTTAGTACCAGACTCTTTTTTTTTACTTCTCTCATTGAGTCGGCCTATTTTTTTTTTGGAGAACTGCGAGCGGTTGATCCCTGGTATAGGCATGGCGTTGTTCGGAAACTAGTGAAGCGGCATGGAGTGTTTTTGTTCAACTAGACAATGCTTGTTTCTACGCATCAGCATGGCGCCTGTTCTTTGGGTGTCTGTGCAGCAATTCTTTACGCGCTTCGTTTCTGTCAACGGAGTATTTTGTTTGCCATGTACGATTTGATTGAGAGGGCGAGGGTGAGGGGTCATCTTTGTATTGTTCCATTCAGGTGTAAGATATAGGGGAAAGGGGGGGTTATGAAGCAAGCTTGAAATGATAGATTCACGGTCCGGCATAGATGATGCCTCATGGCGGAATTTTAAAGGCAATTGGGGACTTGGCAGTACATGTTCCGACTGAATTATTGAGCAGTGCGAATTCATGATGTTGATCAACCAAGTGTTTACAGTGTACGCAGGCTGCAGGGTTATGAGTGTGAGCCTAGGGCGTGTTGGAGGGGGTTTGTGCCAAGGCCGAGGGGGTGTGGGGCAACATGGCATTTGTCTTGAGGGCCGAGGCACGCAGACTGAAGGGGGTCCGGCCGGGGAACAAGCGCACATGTCACGTTGAGGAGCAGTTTGAACGACATGGACACGGGATGAGTTGTTGGTTCTCGTCTCCTTTTCACCTCTTCTCCTTCTTCTTCTGCTGCTGCTGCTGCTGCTGCTTCTTGTGGCTCTCCGACGACTGACGCTACTCGCACGCACTGAGATAACAAACAAACAAATCAACAAATAGAGAAAAAAAGAGGCCAAAGGAAATGAGAGAATAATCCAAAGTGGAAAAAGAAAAGCCAATTCATACATAAACACCGATCGATAGGCATACCGACCTGCAAGGAATAAGGAAAATGGCCGATACCACCACCACCACCACCACCACAATTCCACCCTTTGAGCATACCCCCCTCGAGGACATTGCTTCGACATGTGCAACTGTTCGGGCCAGCTTCCTTGCGCACAAGACGCGGCCGCTCGAGTTCCGCATCCGACAGCTGCGCAAGCTGTACTGGGGCTTCAAGGACAATGAGGCGCTCGTCATCGAAGCGTGCAAGCGTGACCTGGGCAAGGCAGAGTTCGAGACATACCTGACCGAGTTCTCCTGGTGCATGAACGACTGCGTGTGGATGGCCGACAACCTCACCCGCTTCGCCCAGGACGAGAAGCCAGCCGACATTCCGCTGACGAACCGGCTGGTGGGCCCGCGCATTCGCAAGGAGCCGCTGGGTGCTGCCCTCATCATCGGAGCCTTCAACTTCCCCATCCAGCTGACAATTGGGCCCTTGATTGGCGCCATCGCAGCGGGCTGCACCGCCGTCATCAAGCCCTCGGAGGCGGCGCCCCATGCGGCCGTCGTCATGGCCAAGATCATGCGCGAGTCCCTCGATGGCAGCTGCTACGCCTGCGTCCAGGGCGCCGTGCCGGAAACGACAGCGTTGCTCGACCAGCGGTGGGACACCATCTTCTACACGGGCTCAGCCAACGTCGGCAAGATCATCGCGAAGAAGGCGGCCGAGACACTGACGCCGCTCACACTCGAGCTGGGCGGCCGCAACCCCGCCATCATCACAAAGCATGCAGACGCC